TACACTAATAAACAAATAATAAAAACAAATAAATAAATAATTATAATAATAATAACAATAATAATAATAATAATAATATAATCATAATAATAATAATAAATTAAAAAAAAAAAAAAGAAGAAGAGCGAGAGAAGAGAACGTACCAAGTCGGAAGCAAAACAAAATTTTATAGTACAAATATAATACAACTTATTATTAAATAATTAAACAAAAAGCCAACCTTCCTAAATGAAATGATTTTTATTATTATAATTGGTGGTGACAAATATATTTAATTAATTTTTTTTTTTTTTTTATTTAAAGCGCCATTAACGCCAAAACACTTGAAAATTTTTAGTTATCCTTCTTTTGTAATTAAAAGAGGAAAGGTCATAAGCCATAAATGAAAAAAAATAGGAGAAATGAAGAACCAATTGAGAACTATCAAATAAACATTTAATTTAATTACACGAGTAATTTAGTAAGGACAAATATAAATTTAATAATTCATATAACTCTATCAAGAAATTAAACTTGTTATTTTTTATTTCATTATAGCAAAATGAAGAATGAAATGAAAAAAAAAAAAAGAGATCAAAATGTGATGAACTATGCCTAATAGAATTTCATTTAAAAATTCACGAGGGACATCTCTACATTCTACCTTGAATCACATTTTTTTTTTTTCGCGATATTGTTATTCGACAATAGAAATTCTTTGTTTTTCAAGTGTAAATATTTATCCCATTATGAATCCCTTTAATGATGAACTAACACGAGATTCATTGTTATTAAAATTAAATAAATAAATAATACTCGTATTTGGATATGTTAAACAGTGACGCCATATGGAGGTTGATTGGCCTGTTTGTTGTCGCACATAAATTTTTTTTTCTCGCTGAGGCTATCAGATACAGGTTGATATAAACAATATTAAAATGGATGGGAATTTTTTTTTTTCTTTTTTAGAAAAAAAGAGCTTTTTTCATTCGACCTCTTTTTTTTTTTTTTTTTTTTTTTTTTTTTTGAAATTAATTGTTTACGTCAAATAAAATCTTATTATTTATTTACTTTTTTTTTTTTTTTTTTTTTTTTCAGGGCAAGCGATTGCATTGTTCGGCGTCATTATTTTTTTTTTCTTCCAAAAAAGAAGGGATCCTTCTGACTAATTAATATGAACACAAGATTTAATGTTTAAATCCTTAACTGATTGTTTGTTTATACAAAAATTAAATGTAAAGTTTTATTAAAAAAAAAAAAAAGAGAGAAAAAAAAAAGATTGAGATGGAAACAAATCCTGTTAAAAGTTCGCACAGCCACAAATGCCGCAGAGAATGAAATGTGATTCGTTCAGTATCCCCCACAAAAAATTCCACCCCACGTGATTCTAGCCGGCATTACGGCATTAAAAAAATTATTCATGTAACAAACGAATACATAGTAATTTTAAAGCCCGGTGACAATTTTTGCAAGTCACATGGGGTTGAAATTTTTATACCTTTTTATCATAGCATTCAAGCGCTTCTCGTCCTTAAAAAGATAGGTAATTAATGAAAATTATATTAATTAAAGATGAAGATGATATAATTAATTTATCGACCATGCCATGTATATTCCAATTCACCGAATCATCGGACTAGCCGTCCAAACTTAGTAACCCCAACAAACTTTAATTTATATTAGTAACAATATTTTAAAAAGAGCTTAGAAATTAAAATTAACAAACTAGCAATTCAAGTTAGTTTTACCTAATAATAGGATTTAGGTTAAATTGATATCCATTAAAATTTATTTAATTACATTTTTTTTTTTATAAACCTTAAATACAAAGGGTACACCCCCCATATCGCGTCATCGGAATCCCATCCTTTTTTTTTTAAAAAAGAAAAAAACCTGAAATTGCCCAAATTTATTCTCGGCTTAAACTCAAATGTAATTACTATAAATTTAACGCCCAAATGGATAAATAAATTTTTTAGTGTTTGATAAAGAAGCACCAATCAAGAAGAAACAAAAAAAAATAAACAAAAAAAAATAAAAAATTATATATTGGTAAAACCTTGGAAAAAATTTGATTCGTTCTATTAAAAAAAGAATGAAATTTTTTATTTTTGTTTTTTATTTTTAAAAAAAAAAAAAAAAGTTCGGGAATTAAAATTCACTAATTATATATATTATTCAAAAAATAAAATTAAATGAATAATATACCGATGCTAAACGTTCACGGAACGTCTGCTGCGCCACCAAAGCCTCTTCGCTAAATCCGGCATTTGTAATTAAGGGATTTTTCTAAATTTAATCTAAACGTTGAACCATTATTTTACCCTTCAACTTTATTGGAAAGAAATGAAAATTATCAGGGTCGGGAAATGATTCTATCTTACAACAAGGTAAGAGTTTTAAGTTTTGTAATTATTTCTAATGTTTTTTTTTTTAATGAAACCTGATTCGCCAATAACAGGTGTCAGTATGATCAATGCACGAGAAAGTGCAATTGTGTGTGTGAACTTTGAAAGTTGTCATTTTGTGTGAAAGAATACAAATAAAGACCCTAATCGTTTGGTAATCAAACCTTCGGCAACGTTTCCGAAAGGATTGACCCAATCATTTCAAACCTTATTTATGAATTGTTTTTATTAAAATATTTTATTTACTATTTGTTTTCGATGGCGTGGTAAAAAATTTCTTGAATACATATTTATTATTTTTATTTCTCATCACTTCATTTTGTGAAATCCTTCTTTTTTTTTTTTACAATGGGATAGTTATAACCTTTTTTTTTCCATGGACTTCCTTGACACCATTCCATTAAACCTTTCTTTTTTTGACAATCTGTTTGTATCGGAAAAAACGGTAAAAAACAAAAAAAAAAAAAAAATTATATTAAATAGAAAAATATTAAAAATAGAACATTTTATACATTGTAATTACTATATAACATATGGCGTGATAGACCCAATATAAACAAAAAAAAAATCCCTTAAACATTTTTTTCTCATTTATCTCATGATTTCCTTTTGTTTTTATAGGAGATGAAATCCATTGCCGCACGGTGCAACAAATTGATTGATGACAAAAGTATTTATTTATGATTACAAATATAAAATGACTTAATTTATATAACTTTTTAATTACTTCCATTATACGAAAAACGTTTTCTTAAAAAAAAAAGTATTTGGTAATCACATAAAAAAAAAAGGCTTGTTTACAAAAAAAATAATAAATAAATTAACCAGTTTCACATGCAATCCATTAAATTTTCTATAATTAGTCAAAGCCACCCTTGTTCAGCCAATCGCTTTTCCATCAAAGAAAAAAAAGAATAATTTTTTTTTTAAGGTTGTTTATTGAAACTTAAAAAAAAAAAAAAACTCGTTTTACCCTTTTTATTGTCAAATCGGCGAAAAAATTGCAACGTTATCTTGCTTTATATAACGAATGAATGAGGAAGAAAAAAGGAAAAAAAAAAAAAAAGTTCACAAATTTTTTTTTTTAGTAACAAACACCTACAGCACTCGGAAATTTTTTTTTATTAAAATTTACATTTTAAGGAAAAATATCAAAAGTTCCGTAACCTATCGTTTTACGAGAGAGACTCTACCAATAACATTCTATTTAACAAACATAATTAATTCTATTTAATTTTTTATTTGAAAAAACATCATTTATATATATATTTTTTTTTCAACGAAAAAGAATAAAACATGAATTTACCCAAATTCGTACACACAAATATCCGATATCAGAGAAATTACACATGAAAATTGAATTTTTTATAATATATGTTTATGATCGAGATACGTGTGATGATTCATTGTGGTATGACTATTATGGCTAAAATATAAGCTCTGATTCCTAATTGGGTGGATTATGATATAGTTCTAAAATAATAAAAAAAATCATTGTAAATTTTTTTATCACGAGAAAAAAAAAAATTTAACCAAAAATTTATTCAGATGTTTGATGTGTTGTCAATATCTTAATGTTTAATATGAAAATATACAATAATAATAAAAAGAACAATGAACGATTAAATTCCTATTTTCCCATAAGGGTTATTTTGTTTAATCCAACCTTTGAAATAATCGATTAAACAGGGGGTCAAATGCAAGTCAGCATTCGATGTCCCTTTTGTGAAAAAAAATGCACCCTCTTTGAAATGTCAGAAAAATGTATTGCTATAATAATCATCATGGAAGAAAAAGAAAAAAGGGCATTCTTTTCTTCTCATGAAACTGTTTTTTTCTTTTGGATTGTTTGAAGAGAATCATCGCTTAGCATTTTACACACATTTCATATGATACTAGGTAATACATCTGATTCGTAACTTAGAACCTATTAAACTTGGAAAAGACTTTTTCCAGCTTTTAACGAGATTTACCAAAAAAGTTACGCTTGTCATATAAGTAATTTCAAAAGTCGATCCAATAAAAAATTTCATTACGATTAACTTGTTCATGAACCGGGTTGAAAGTTTAAATGGGTCTGAATTAATTAAAACTAATCAGAAAATTATAGAATCGCACAAGGTACTTTAATAGGAATAAATCAAGTTTTGCTGGGGACATTTTAATGTAAATAATAAGCCTCTTCGATAATTTAATCCGATATGATTAAGATTTTCTCATTGAAATTCTTAAAAAAACTAATCATCTCTTTTTTCGCGATATGACATCAGTTTTTTAAAATTAAACCAAATGTGTGAGAATAATCAACCATTCCGTAATTGTGGGTTTTCTCGCGCATTTACTTGTTTCCCTTAGATATGTTTCTATCAAAATGTAAACAATCAACTTTAAGTAAAAAACAAATAGTTTAAAATTGTAAACAAAAGAGTTGTAATATATTTTTGAAATGTAATTATGACGATGACAACAAAAAAAAAATCCAGAAAAAATATTGAAAAGAATGGTTAATTTGTATATTTGTGGATTTATCAAGTTTTTTTCGTTTATCTAATTTATAATACTATAAAAAAAAAGGTAAAGATAAATATAAAAGTAAATAAATAAACAATACACTCATTGTTTTAGAGATGGCGGAAAGATAACAAAAATTGTTTGAACTAAAAATATCAAGTTGTAAGTTTCGGGTTTTCCGAAAAGATCAAAAAACATTCGCGCAAAAAAAATTCCACGCTATCACGTGGTATGCGAAACGATCGGCACAAGAATCTTATTGGCTGATTTTACGTGTGAAATCGTTAAAATAAATTATACTTAACCAAATCAATGAGGCTATGATGATTGCATCCCTCGACGCTTTCACCTTTGGATGACATCTGCGACTTTCTCAGGATTACGTGAAAATTATTCCGAGTTTTGCTTTTTTTGAGGTCATCAAATGTCAAAACATTTTGAAAGATAACCCTTTCATATTACTTCATATGTTACTAAAAATTTCTCTAACAGCGAAACTAATAAATATTTTAATTAAAATCGTGTTACTTCACCTGTTAATGAAGTCATACCTTGAATTTTATACTTTCATTGTTTTTTTTAAGGGATTTTTTGTTTGTTTCACAGGTTAATATTTTAATTAATTTAAACTTTTCTGTCAAAAATTCAAGGACATAGATTAGCACAACTTTATAAAAGAAAATAACCTAAAATCTCACCTAAAACTTAGGAACTAGTAAAAAAAAAATATATGTAATCTGCATGTTCTCTGTAATGCTTACTTAATATATGCGCGTGTGTGAAAAAAAAATCGAGATTTGCAAAAGTGTACCATTGTTAAAAATCCACCAACGAATTGATTCATCGCCAAAATTCTTCAAAATCAAAAAAGTTTTCGAATAACCGACCAGTCTGATCCCGAATGTAGTTTTATTGATGTATTTGAAACTTGCATTAAAATATTCGCATTAAAAATTTTGAGCGATTTTGCTTGGTCAACTGTGGTTATTATTTGCTACTTAATTGTTTTTTCCCATTGTTGTAGATCATGGATTTAAGGTTCATTGAAAAAATATTTGAAAGAACAAAGATATTTAATTTTTTATTACAGAAATTTTGTATAAAGCTATGTGATATTTTTCGAACCCTTTCTTATTGTTAAAAAAAAAAAAAAAAATAAAAAAATGTGCATTATACATGAACACAGCCTACTTACTACCTTACTTTTTTCTCATCATGCATAGAGAAAATATCCAATCATAAAAAACTTTAAAATTCATTATTACGTAATTATGAATGTTAAACGCCCCCTTAAACTTCCTGATACAAACTTTGACCATTTTGACGTGCATTTACAGCGATCTTTCTGATTTTATAAGTTTTTTTTTTTTTTTGCACCATTGTTTTAATGTTGTTTGTAATTGTGTCGTGAGAATTTGTTATTTTTTGATATTACTTTTCTCTGGTTGGATTATGCGCTGCAATTAATAGTAATTGTTGATGAATGAACTACTTAGTTTGGATTAAAAAACCGCTCCCCTTCGTTTTATTTTTCTTTTTAAAAAAAAAAAAATGGAAAGATGTTTAAGGAATGCCCGAGAGATTTTTTATTAAATGTTTTTGGTTATAATTTTTTAAAGCAGTGTGGGGTACGCCTTTGATCTGCAATTTTTATTTTGTCAGCAATACAAAATGCCCAAATCCGTATGGATACAGTATGATATGAAAAAAAAAAAATCAAAAAAAATCAAATTCAGGTGATCAATTTGCGATATTATTTATTTTGAAAAATCAAAACCATATAATTCAAAAAAAAAAAAAAAAAAAAAAAAAAAAACACTCCCACCACCCATTTTAATTTATTTAAAGTTAATCTAATTTAAAAAATTTCAAAAGAACATTCCAAAGAATCCTTAAATTATATAATAATTTATAATTATCGAATTATTAATAATAATATTGGTAAATATAAATACAAATTTTTAATTTAACCATAATAAATATTATTTAATATATTATTATGAATTATAATTAAAATTTTACTTATATTTTGACTAATTTCTTTACTAATAGTTTCGCCATTTTTATAAATTTTAATATGGTTTTACCTTTCTCGAATTTCACGAATTTTTTAATACTTTAATATCATTTTGTTAAATTTTACCTTATACCATTTAGACGACCTACAAAATTTTTAGGTTTCGTCTAACAACAAGCTTATTTTTAAAAAATTTAAATAGTTTTAGATGATTTTATATACTTAATTAAATATTAAGTAATATTGTATATATACATTCTGAATCAAAATATTCTACTACTATAAAAAATAAATATGCTATTTTCTTATTAAAAACTAATATTAAAATTTAAACAAATTTTTTGTTTTATAATTCTTTAAAAAAAAATTATTCTTTTAATCATAATATGTTTATTTTATATTATAAATATATAATAAAAAGTTTTTTTTTTTAAACAAATTAATTCAACTTTTAATATTTAAAAATAAATATAATTAATTTTTAATTTTTTAATGTGAAATTTATATTATTACAAATTATTTACACGAAGTGTATATGTACCCGTATCATGTGACATATATTTGTCAACGGTGTCACACCCTCCTGTCTTTAGTTTTTACTATTTATTTCAATTTTTTCGGTGAAAAATTCTTATTCGTCACTCATTATCCGTCACATAATCGTCATACAGGTAATTTCTTAATTTCTTCATGTCGGTAAAAGTTATGTTAAATTTGGCCGTATCACGTGTACAAATAGAAATTTCTTTTATAAATAATATAAGAATATTTATTATTTAAATATCATCATGTTTACTATCTTTTATGATTTTACTTTCATTAATAATATCATATATTTTTTAAAAAAATTAAAAAATTAACATTTGATTAAAATAATAATAAATAATTTAGTTTATACAGAACTTTATTTTAAAAATTAGGTATATTCTAAAGCTTTAATATATTAAATTTCTTACTGTAAATATTAAAAAAATTAAAAAATTTAAATATTTAAATGATAAAATAAGTAATGATAAGTAATATAATATATTATAATATATAATAATTATTTTACAAAAAACTGCAAATATAAATAATTTTTATATTGCAATCATAAATAATAATAACTTTATAAAAAATTTATTTATATTTAAAGTTGCTAAATAAAATCTAAAAGTTTGCAAGTTGTTTAAAAAGTAAAAGTAAACTTTAACAAAACTCAATAAAAGAGGTAAAACTATATCAAATTTATAAGAATAGAAAACTATATTAAAAGTTTAGTAAAAAATTAATAAAAACTAAAATATTTAAATATTTACTTAAATTTAAAATAGATTTAGACAAATAATCTTATTTATATTATAATTCTATTATATAATATTATATCATTATAAATAATTCTTTTTAATTTATTAATCTTTTAAAAATCTTTTTTTAAATTAAAAAGATCAAATGTTTTTCTTCTGTTATTATAATAAAAAGATTATAATAAAGTATTATTATTATATTTTATTAATAATTTAAATTTAAGTTATTCTTTTAATAAAAATAATAATAATAAAGTTAGTAAAAAAAAATTAATAAAAAAATGTAAATAAAAAAATAATAATTAAATCAAAAATATTAAATGAATTTAAAAATAATATTTTTTTATTTTAAAAGTTAATAAATTATTAAATATAATAAAAGATATTATAAATATAAAAGATATATTAGAAGTAAATAAAAAACTTTTATTAGATAATTTTTAATTAATTTTTTTGAGATTTTATTTTGTAATATACTTTATCATTATATAAAAAATATAATAAATAATAAAATAATGATTATTTTTATTTTAATTTATTTTTGTATTTAAATTTCTATATTTTCTATTAAATTGAAATTGAAATAAAAGTAAATAGATTATTTTTGATTAATGCATCTGCAACTTTACTGCATTAAATATCATTTTATAATAGTACAGATATTGTTAAAGCTCTAAATAGTTCAGTTCAGTCTGAATTAGATGTCAATCTATATCTGAACTAAAAATTTTAGTTTAGTTCAGTTCAGATTATTAATCTTAAAAATGCTAATCTGAATCTGAACTGAACTACAAATCGATAAAAATTTGAACTGAACTGAAATTTTTAGATTAATCTGAATTACAGTTCAATTATATAAGAAATCTGCAATTTATATGCGAAACTCTAAGAGAATTGCAAAAAATCATAAATTTCTCTTCAAGATTTGTGAAATTGCAAAATTTGATAAATAATCACAAAAATTTATGATTCTTTAAGATTTTCACTTTTTTTTGCAAAATTTGAAGAGAAATTGCAATTTTTTGTGATTCTTTAAGAATTTTGTAATATTTTTTGTGACTCTCCAAGAATTTTGCAATATTTTTTGCAAAAATACTAAAAGAATCACAAAATTGCAATTTTCTAAGAGTTTTGCGATTTTTTTGCAAAATTTGAAAAAAAATCGCAATTTTTTGTGATTCTTTAAGAGTTTCGTTAAATTTTTGCGATTCTCTTAGAGAATTTGCAAATTTTGCAATCCTTTAAAAGTTTTGCATATAATTAAACTGAACTTTTAGATTAATCTTAAATAATTAGTTCAGTTCAGATTAAAATTATAATCTGAAAAAAATTTGAACTGAACTAAAAATTTTCAAATTGATTTTTATGCAATCTGAAACTGATCTGAACTGAACCGATCTGAAAAATCTTCAGATTAATCTGAATTATTCAGAACTTTAGATACTATATAATATTTATTTATATTATATTTAAGTATAATAATTAGGTTATTTTAATTAAAACTACCTATTTATAAAATAAGATATATTTTAAATAAAATAAATTAAAACAGATCTAATCTTTAGATAAAAGATAATATTTTTAAATTTTTGAAATAAATGTATAAAAGTTTTATAGTAAAAAGAAAAAAAATTATTAAAAAAAATTTTTTAAATTAAAGTTAAATCTAAATTTATTTTACTAAAAAAAATAATATTTAATTTATAAAGTAAAAAAATATTTTTTAGTAATTTTCTTTCTTTATATTACAAAACATCTATATAATACATATTTAAATATTATTATTTTATTATTAGTAATCCAATTTTAATAATTTTTTTTTATTTTATAAGTCTTTTTAAACTCTATAATAAAAATAAAAATTTATTTAAAATTAAATTACTAAATGACAAGTAAGTTATAAAAAATTATTTAAATTTAATTAAATATTTATTTTATATTTATATTAATTAATAAAGTTATAAAAATTATCTAAAGATATTTGAATAATATTTTTAAATGTTAATATTTTTAAACTTTTAAACTTAAATTATTTTACTAAAATATTATCCTATTATTTTGTATAATTTTATTACTATTATTATTAATAAGTAGCAAAAACTGTTGAAATATCTTAATAATCATATAATTAATAATTATATATTATAAAATTATTCTAAAAAAATGTTTTATTAAGTTAAAATATGTATATAAAAAAAATATATAGTATAATTAAAATAGTTAAAATCATATAATTAAAATAGTTTAATTAAATAATTAAAAATTATAAAATTTGAATTTAAATTTATAAGTTAATATTAAAAATAGTACTGCAATTAAAAATAATAATGTAATTGGATTACAATTTGTAATACATTTAAATTTTCTTATAGCTAAGGTTGTTAGATAAAACCTAGAAGTTTTGCAAGTCATTTAAATAGAAAAAGATAAAATTTAGTAAAATTATATTAAAACTTTATTAAAAAATCTGTGAAATTCTAAAAAAAGTAAATTATATTAAAGCTTATAAAATGCAAAACTATATCAAAACCTTAGTAAAAATTAGTGAAACTATTATTTAGACATTTTGTTAAATCCAAAATAAGTTTAGACAAGTAACTTTACTTATAGTACAATTAAGTTATAACTCAATTGAAATTTGAAAATAATTATGAGAATTATTTTTAGTTATTATATTATATTATATTAGAATTTTTGATTTATTTTTTAATATTAAAAAAATTTTATATAAAAAGAAAATTATTTAATAAAAAGTTATATTATAACTTATTGTAATATAACTTTTTATTATTAAAAATATTAATTTATAATAAAAATTATTAATTAAATAATTAGATATCATATAACACATTTTGAAAAATAATAAAGATTAATTAATACAAATTTTTTATTAAAATTTATAATTAATATAAATTTATTTATTAAAAAAACTATAATTAACATATGTTTATTTTTTGTTTTTATATAAATACTATTTTTTTTATTTAATTATTATACCTAATCTTAAAATTTTATTAGTTATAATTTATTATTCTTATTATTATATTATTATTATTTTTCAATGTAATTATTATATCTGATCTTAAAATTTTATTAACTATAAATATAATATAATAGACAAATTTTATATAATTTTAAATAGAAGAAAAAATCCTTCACTAATACTTTGATAATTATTATTTAAATAATAAATATAATTTTATTGCAGTAATTTTATTTTTTTGCTTAGTTTTATTGATTTATTACAATTTTAAATATTTTAATATAATATATATAATTTATATAAAAAAATAAGTATTAATTTTATAAAGTTTAATATAAAAGAATACTTAAATATTTTTAATTCTTTTTACATTTTGCATATTAGTATTTATATCAACTTTATTTTATTATTGTAAACAAAATATCTTAATTTTAATTGTATTTTATGTAACCTTATTATATATAAATAAAATATATTTTGATATATATATTAATTTTAATAATATATATATATTTTATAATGAAAAAGAAAAAATTACTAAATAAATTTTTTTGAATTAATATTAAATCTATTTATTTTACTAAAAAAAAATAATATTTAGCTTATAAAATAAAAAAAATTTTTTGATAGTTTTTTTTTTTTATAAAATATTTATATTATTACAATTATTAAAATAATTATGTAAAAATAACTTTTAGTTTATAATTAAAAAATATATATTATTTTAACATTAGATAAAATAATAAAATTTATGATAAAATAAAAAATTTATTTATTACTTACTTTATAACTATTAATAATTTCTTGATTATATAATTATAAATGTATAATAATATTTAAAAAAAAATTTAATAATAATATTTATAATTTTATATAAAATATAAATTAAAATATTATTAATAAGTAAAAGAATTTTAATTTATTCTCATTTAAATATTAAACTTTTAAATATGAACTGTTTTATCTCCCTTTTAGTTTATGGTAAAATTTTCCACTATGTCAAACCAAACAGGTGTCTCATCCATGTTGAAAATATTACATAACTCATAACAATTTTTGATCCTAAGATATATTACATATTGGTGAAATTTTTTCAATAATTCTTGTGTTTGTTCTGGAAGCTTTTAAGAAATTTTTGTACGCCGTTGTAAGGATAAATTGTATCTTTTTATAAACCCATATAACCAATGAAATGATGCCTTAAAACTTTCTGTAGTATTACCATAAAGAGCAATCATATCTGGCTCTTCCAGAATATTAAACATTGTAACTTTAATGATTGCAGAAGTTACAGCCAGACCTTGTTTTCTTTACCCTATAATCCAATTATAAAGTCTTTTCTCAGCCTCAGGGAAAAAAGAATTTTGTCTAGAACTAACTTATAAACAATATAATTTTGTCTCTGCTATCCATTTTATGCTTACCTTCATCTAACGACCAACTATACTATCATTGAGTTCAAAATGCCTTGCTGCCTTATTTTTCTCATGTTGCTTGACATAAGTGATAACTTCTTTTTTTTGAAAATAGAATAGGAACTATATTTAATTTTAAAGACTTGTTTATGCTTAATAGCTCGTTTACGCTTAGTAGTTTAACATGTATCAATTTGATATTTAATACGTTTAAATGACGTTTTTTTGTGGCATTTTTAGATGATTTAAAATGGGTTAAACAAGTTTAGAAATGATTTGTGCATGATTATCTCAAGGAGATTTTATTTTATCATTCTGTCATACAGATATAACATTAATGTAAATAAAATTTTAGGTGCGATTTGATATTTATTATTAAACAAAAATCAACGATCAAAATAAAGTACCTGAAATAAAGCACCCCTATAATAAAAAAGGGATACTTAATAACAGCAAAATACGGTAAGTTTTATCATATAATTTAAATTTTTACAAAATTTAATTTTAGTATTTTAAGTTATATTTAAAAATAGTATTACAATATTATGATGCTTATTTATTACCTGTTGCAACTTGAATTTTAATAATATTGCAATTTATTATAATATTATGATACTTATTTATCACCTATTATAATTAATTGAGGTGTCATCTTTAGTTATATTATTATAAAAATTAATTATTAAAATTTATAATTGCTATTTTTCTTATTTTATTTATATAAAAAGTTGATAATATTGTTTAAATAAATATCTTAAAAATAATATTATATTATTTTTTATTAAAATTATTATTTAAATTTTTATTTTTTAAAATATTAAAAAAATTTCAATTAATATAATCTTTTTATAAAAATTTATATTAAATTTTCTAAATTATAAAAAATTATTACAAATTTTAAGTAAATATAATAGCTAAATATATTTTTTAATTAATAATAAATATAATTAACTCTTTATATAATAAATTTCTATCTAAACTAATTAGACCTTTATTATTTCATATATTATAAAGTAGACAAATTTACTTATAAACATAAAATATGTATTAATTTTTTAATAAAATATATAGTTTAATATATATTTAGTGATGTAACTTTTTAAATTTTTAAATATTAATCTTAATTAATAAGTAATTAATAAGTACTTATTAAATAAAACATAATTTTCTAATTTTTAATCTATATAAGTTAATAAATATTAATAAGTAAATAATAAGTAAATAATAATTATTAATAATAAAATTAAATATAATTAGTTAAATATAAATATGAATCATGTGATCAATTAATTTATTTACTAAATTAATATGCTATAATTAAAACTTGATCATGTCCTATCAATCTAAATTATCAACCTATTTTAATAATACCTTAAAATTGTATTAGTAATGATCTTTTAATTTAAGCTGATGGAATATGATTTGATTTAAACTACAATAGCAGTTACATATTATTAGTATTTTTAATTCTAATAATAATAATAAGTCTTCTATTTTAACTAAAGTTTTCAACTTACAGCTAATTGTAACAACATTGGTTGAAGAATAAATTTCATAATTTAGTAATAAAATAATAAAATAATAATAAAGTTGTTTTGAATTTACTAATATAAATGTATTATCACATGATTTAATTAAAATTTGACTAATTAGAATTTTAGCATTATTAATTTAATTATTAATTTAATAAGTAATTATTAATTAGAAAAGATTTGAAATAATTTTTAAATTCTATTACTATATATATTTTATTAACTTTATTAGAAGAAATTTTAAGTTTATTAAAAAGTTTTTTAAATAATTCAATTTTTAAATTAAGTTTTAAAAATTTATTTAAAAATTTTCTTAAAATTTATATGTTTGCAAATTAATTAAAATCATTTATTATTAATAAAAATCATAAAATTTCTTAGTAAATTATAAAAATTGTAATAATTAAAATTTTTTATATAATAAATTTTATATTATTCTATTATAATTAATTTGTTTTACATGTAAAATATAAAAATTTTAATAAATTTTTAATAATTAGTGATGATAATTGTAATATGAAAATTTACTTCACGTTTAAATCTCTTATTTATTAATATTACTATTCTTAAAAAAATTATGTTTATAAAATAAATAATGTAGAAATTATAATGTTTCATTAATAAAAGTAGAAAAACTTAATAAAGAGTTATATTTTGAAATATTTGAGCATTTTTGATGACAGTCACATGATAATGAATTATACCTTATATGCTTAGAAATGAAATCCTTATCACATTTAATAAAATTTACTTTATAATTACTATAGTTAAAGAAATTTCAGCTTCTCAACCTGATTATACTTATAAAGTAAGGGTATTATAAGTTCTATTTATGATATTCCTTCTAATGTAATTAACTTTTTATATCACTCATTATTTAGTTTAAAAATAAAATTTTCTGATTTATTAATATATGGTTTTAATAATAAAGAAGTTAATAAACAGATAATATTTCTTTTCAACCATTTACATTAACAGTTGATAATTTACAAATATTTATTGAAATGATTGGAGTTTTAGACTAAGAGAATTTGGAATATGCAAGTCTAAAATATTATCATCTTTCATTTATAAAATTAGGTCAAAAAGATATAAATATTATTTGTACAGCAAATTTATTAGTGATATTGTTTAATAACAATATATTAAGATAAGCAAATTAAATTCAAATATAGTAAAAAAAAATCCTGATGAAGTCTAAAAAGAGACTTGAAAAAAACTTGAAATATTATAAAATTAAGATAGAAAATCCTTATTTAATATTAGTTATGCGAAAACTCAAAATATAATAAATATTCTTTAAATATTTTTTTGTACAATTAATAATAAAATTATAATAATACAATTATATAAATATTATTTATATAAATTTATTCCTGCAAATACTTCTTAGTACAAATTTTTACTTGATTAGAAAAAATAAAAATATAATATAATAGAACTATATAATACTCTTAAACATATATATATAAAGAAGTATCAATTTAAAAAAAGAGAACTTCATATTTGAAAAACATTATTATGTAGTATTAGATGTACCAATATTACATCATTTAACAAAAAAATATCAAAAGTAAAAATGTAAAAAAAAAAAAATTTATTTATTACAATAATTTTTTAGCTTGAATTTTAGACTAAAGCTAAAAATCTAATTAATGATAAAAGCATCCTTCTTTATCTATATAAAATAATTTTTTTGATATGTCTCTTGGTATACCTTTTTAAAGTAATCATTCCAATCCAATTGTAAATAAATTTTAGTCTTATTTAATAAATCTCTAAAAAGAAATAAAAAAGGATCTGATAGAAAAAAAAGAATTTTATTAATAATTGCAAATAATTTTTTATATAAAAAAATTAGAATAAACTTAAAAGTAATTATATTAATTCACCTTATCACTTTTTTTTTTGCTATAAATTTTTACTTATCAAATTTTTAATATAGGTTACCCTAACTATAATTTTTGATATTGATATCATATGAAGTTAATCTTACTACATCATAAAGATTGATGAATGATTAATGTTATTAATATCATTAGCATTTTTAACTTAGTTAACATTTTATTTTATTTATTTTATTCTTATATTTTATTATCATTATTTATTATATTATTATCATTGTTAAACTATAATTTATCTTTTATATTTATCTTAATATTATAAAATAGTTTAGTGTTAGATAATTATTTCTTATAATTGTATTTTTATATAAATAGAATAGAAATTTGTCCTTACAAAAGGGCAGAGATAACAGTGTAAACTTAATAATTTGAGTTTAAGACTTAGAATTCAAGGTTAAGGATTGCTAAGGATACAAATCTCTATAATAAAGAAATCTCTTTTTAAATTATATATATTAAAAATCCTTTAACGTGTTAATTGTGTTTATAGTATTTGCAAATTATTAAAGTTATTTACTTGTCTAAAAAAATAAACCTAAAGTTGATTGTGATAGGACTTATTCTATAGTAACTTAGTAGTTTCTCAAATGTTACTTCCTATTATTAAGTCATAATTACCCTAAGTTTAATGGACTGAGCGTAGAGTTAACAATATTCATATATATATTAGATTAAATAGTCTAAACATTAAGTAAATTGAAAACTTATAAGAATAGTAGCTAAATTATCACAAGAAAAATTAAAATAATTTAGCAATTTTTTTAAAGATAAAGCTAATGTCTATTATATCATCTTATAAAACTGATGTTAAAACTTAATTGCCTATTCTTTATTTAAAAATAAGAAAAAAATATTATGGAAAAAGTTTAAAGAAATATATCCAAATAGATTAAAATGAATAACTTTATCATTAATTAAAAGGAAACTATTATTAATATTAAGAAGATATAGATGTACTTTGTACTATATATAATATATATAGATACAAAATATTGAATGTTTAAAAGAACTAATTTAAAAAGAAATTATTAGTTCAAACTAAATTTCAGGTAAAGTTAGACTAAAATTAATGATAAAATAAAAATAAACATACTAATTTAGCAATTATAAATTATTAGAATGAATTCATTCAACATATTAAGAATTTACAATGTTATCTAAAAAGATCATGTAAATAAAAATTTAAGATATCAGAAAATAGTATGATTAAATATGATACTTATATTAATCATTGCTTGCTTTATACTTTTAAAACATATGATGAATTATATACTCAAATATATAATAAATGTTAAGAGTTGTTTACCTTTTTTATCAATTTTAAAGAAATTGTTAACTCAACTATTTATGATAATTTAAAAATCTATGAGAAAAAACTGATCTTACATCAAATAAAAAAAGTTTATTTGAATTCTCAATTTAATATAATAATAATAGAGTTAGATGAAAAGAAGTAGTTTTTTTAGTAGATTACAAAATAAAAATCTTACCATAAAGTGCAAGAGAAATTAAACAAAATTTTTACAGTAAAAAAAAATGGATACTGCATTTTATTTTAGTTTATATAAAATTAAATAATAATAACTAAATTAATATTAAAGCTTTTGATTATTGGTTATATGATGTAAAGTAAGATACATGATTTACAGCCTCATTTTTATATAATGTAATTAAAATTCTAATAATAAAAGTCTAAATAGATAAGCATTATTTTTGATAATAGATAAATAAAAAAAAATATATATATAGAGAATTTTTTACCTACTTTTTTATCTTCTTTTTTTTAGTAATCAAAATTTATATATGCTATTTTAACATTAAATTTTCCATAAATCTCTTATTAATATAACCTTTATTATAATTTAGAATTGATAATAATATTGAGTTATTAGAAAAAATGGTATAATATAAAAATAAATAAATAGGTATTCTTAAAAGTTGAAAAAGTAAAAACTTCTATTGATTTTTATCATACACAAGTATATAAGTTTACTAATTTTTTTTAATAATTTCTTAACTTATTTGATTTCTTATTATTATTAGATTTCAGATTTCTCATTCAATCAAAAGGCATATTAAGCTGGAATTTGAAATAAGAGATGGTGAAAATATTCAAGAAGCAATTGAAGATATTGCTAAAATTTGTGTAATACATTTAGAACTTAATAGGAATAGTGGTAAATATTTATTTTATTTAAAAGTTAAATTAATGTGCTCTAATATGTATTTGAAAATAATAAAGAAAATAAAGGAAATAAAACAAAAAAAATTTTTAGAATTTTAAAATTATTTTAAAAGAAAAATTAAATAAATATATATAAGCGAAAACCTTACTTCATATAGAGAGTAGAAAATTTTTATTCTAAATCAAATATCTAATTAGATAAAAGATTAAGTATTTATACTGCAACCCCAAATTTTGTCACATATAACTTTAAAATCTTCTTAGAAGATACTAATGTTATATAGTTCAAGTAAGTATTAAAGACTATATTATTCAAAATAAATTTGAGAGAATAATATAATAAATAATTTGTTATCTTTTAAATATTAATATAAAGTGATTAAAGGTGAAATAATTGCAAAATGAATTAGAGGATCAGAGTATAATAATAGATGAAAAAAAAATTATGCAGAAATAATTAGAATTTTAGAAGATAAAATGATAAAAGAAATGCAAACTAAAAAATTAGTGAGTTTAAAAAAGTTAATTATATAAAAAAAATGCATAATATTAAGTTTTTATTATTTTAGACAATAATAAATAAGTACCAGAAGAAATTATAAGTGATTCAGCTAATCTATACTATAATAGATAAATAAAAAATTATAAATTCAATACTACTTAAAAAAAAGTTTGTTATTTATTAATCTGTAATAATATAAGAGAATTTCTTTGCTATGTGATTAGGCATTGAAATATAATCAAAAATATGGTAAAAATAACTCAAGAAAAAGGATTGCATTACAAGTTATAATTTTATTAAAACATTTCTTTTTAAAAGGTAATATCTATAAAAATAGGAAAATGAATAGACACAATATATGTAATAAACCAGTTGAAAAATAAAAAATAGTGAATTAGCACACAACATTAAAATTTTAGAAGTATCTATAATTAACAACTGAATAATAAAGTTTTTTATAAAGTTTAAAAACTCCTTATCTAAATAAGCTATAAATAGTTTTAAGTAGCTTGAAGCAAAAATTATTATTTTTTGTCATTTTTTATATTTAATAAAATACCTAAATCTTACAGTCTGTAAAAGTAAAGTCAAAATTTTATGTTTAAAATGTTCAATTAAATTTATAATATAAAAATTAAGGTTTTTCTCATTATAATAAGGGTTTTTTGTATTACATATTAAGTTATATTTATAACATGATCAACTTTTCAATTCACAATATTTACTATATAATCAATACAAAATTCATTAAATTTATTTAGTTATGTTTTATAGATTATTAACAGATCATGAATTAATATTACTAAAAGTAAATATTAATAAAATAATCAAAAGTTAATGATAAAATTTTTTAATTTATAATTTTTTTAAAAATTACAAATTTTTAACTTATAAATAATATTAAATTATATATTATTTAATTAAAAAATAAAATATATTATAATATTATATATTTTTATAAAAAAAAAAAATTTTTTTAAATTTTAATTTTTCATAAAAATAAATTAGAAGAGAATTTATAGTAAATATGTAGACAAATTTGTTTATGAATCTCTATAGTTTAAAAAATAAAAAAATTTATAATTATTTATAATAAATTATTTATTATAATAATAATTAGACTAATCTAAATAGTTGTAATAATCATATAATAGTAAATTAATAATCTTTTTTATTTTTTTAATCTTTTTTTAGGACTGATTTTTCTTTAAATTTTAGAAACTAACTGGTAA